CTACCGAATCGCCAGAGTCAGTGGCCAAAAAAATGTCATTAAGCACCTTAACAAGGGCCGTTTCTGTCGAGTGAAATTTTTTGAAGCCAGATTGACATATATCATAAATTTTGTTTTCATTCAAAAACGTTTCAAGCTGACATAGAACTATTTTATCTAAAATTTTACTTAAAAATGGGAGATGTGAAATAGGTCTAAAATTCGATAGATTTGATGAGTCTAGATTTGGCCTCTTTAGTATGGGTTGCACAGATGCATGTTTTAAACGCTCAGGGACCACTCCCAGCTCAAGGCATTTATTTATGAAGTGTAGGAGTGCCGTACTTACTGAACACTTTTTTCACTAGTCGTGCAGGGATAGTGTCTAACGGTGATCCTGTAGGTTTTAACTGCTTCACCGTATCATTTAAAACAGTCATTGTGATTGGTGTAAACTTACTGAGTATTCCGGTATACTTTAACTGACTTTAACTGTATGAATCTCTGCGTACGAAGGATCCCACGCATTTTCTCTTTGTACATCCCAATTAACGTAAAAATGAGCGCACATGCACGAGCACAACGCCCCACCCAGTCTCCTCCCTTATTAAATACATTTAAATATGGTAATGAGTCCACTTTGGCAAAAGAAAGGAGTAAGAAAATGGCAAGAAGCGAAACTTTACAGAAAGTGAATCGGAGGTGCTACTATCGGAGGTAGAAACGAGAAAAAATAAATTATTTGGAACTTTGTCCTCCGGAATTAATAACAAAAGGAAAAAATATGAGTGGGAGAGTTTGGCTGATGCCGTCAATGCGGTGGGATCTGAAAGTCGCACTGTAAAAACACCGACATCGGAGCAGGAATGTGATACTTGTATCTGTCTTTTCTGTTTTATTGTATTTCACTGCGCGATTCTTTTGAGGACATTTCGATCTATGATTGTCTCACAATGTAATAACCTACATCGACAAATTCCTTAGAATGAGAGCTTTCTTGTTATATATGATTTGACTGTTTTGTGAAATATATGAAAAATAAATATTTGTAGAAAGATTTCTTCGCAATCATAAAGCGGATTTTTTTTGCCTGGGACCAATGCATATTTAAGCTAATATTTCATTTTATATGTATCATAAAAACGAAAGTGATGGTATTCTTTGTAAAGTTTAGATTCTAAGCTTTCAAATGATACCATGGCTTATCGGGAAGTCTATAAAAAGAACGTACGAACATCACAACGAAGTTTTTTTATCCCGGATACGGGATGGTGGAGTTAATGTGGTTAAAAAGAAATGGTCTGATATAAAGGTGGACGTTAAATAGAGAACTGCTGCGCACCGACAAAGTGTGGGCAGAACAGGCAGTGGTAAAGGGGTCGATGATCTTACATCCTTTGAGCAGAGAGTTGCCTCAATTATGGGTGACATTTTACTCTCTGGAGTATATCTGCTGCTGTGGGAGACTCGGATTTACTACAGGACTGCCACGAAAGTAACCAATATTATCTGCACATTTATTGAATGGAAATGTTTCCGATTCACATATGCAAATTCTTCTTCAGATGGCGCCTTTATAGCAATGTGTGTGCAGTCGATCGCTTCGATTACATTAGGAAAACCGGCTATCGCTGCAAATTGCGTTTTAATGTTTGGCTGGTCAGCTGCATCATATGGGAACCTTATATACCTGGTAGACATGCGGATGATCCCGACCCATACCGCTGGCATTGCGCGGCTCAAAGACGACTGGCTTATTCCTGAACGGTCTGCCAGTTCCCTTTGGAAAGAACCAGTTGCCAGGAAACCAAGTGTTGTCAGCACCTGCAAGCGAACAGGTATTGCGTGGCTTCTCGCTGTCTCTCTCTAGACTCGAACACAACTCAGCACAGAGCTCCAAGAGGATAGCCCTTGGAAATCTGAAACGGCTGATAAGCCAGTCATCATCCTGGGCCAGAAAATTATTGTGGTCCCTAAAAACTCGTTCTCTTCGGATTCTGTCGTTAGCAATGTCCTCTAATTAGGCCAAAGCTGCCATTGCCATAGACTAAGGGTTGTATCAATTTGCATATGCTTTTATATGTTCTTACTTAATTGCATAATTGATCGAATATTCCCATAAGGCTCGTGTGAAAAAATATGTAAATTATTTTATAAATTGCAAATTAATAGCAATGCTTCCCACAGGTGGTAGTGCGATAGACTTGTAGAACAATTCGTTGTCTAATGTTTGCAACTTAACTTCATTGCCTGTAAGAGTCGCCAACGGACAAAAACTATGAGAAATGTACGTACGCCAGACATGAAATTGGCGTGGAGGAACGCACATTCTCACGTTAATTTCACTGTTAATACATCCGACCGTGAGCGTGAAAGCTGGCGTACGCAGTTTTTGTGCGTTCGCAAGATTGATCCATGAGGCCCCTGGTGCTCAGATAACAACTTGATCCTCAAAACAGAGAAAGCCAAGGAGCTAATTATCAATTTTGGGAGATCACAGAAGCAGTAATACACTACAGTATTTATCAATGGAGACAGAGTGGAGAGAGTGTTTTTAATGACAAACCATGTGCAAATTAATAAGTCAACTCCATTGCTGAGTATTTTCTCCTTAAAACTGCAGTGAACCAAAGACAGTCTCAAAAAATGTGGTTTGAAATCGCTGGTGTTTCTGACATCACAAACTTCCTTGTAACCAATCAGATCAACGTGTGATCGTTAGCGAGTGGATCTCTGAGCTGAGTGAGTGAGTGGAGGCGGGGCTCATTCGCATATTCATAGAACTACATATACTAAATGTGGTAAGGGTGTAGAGTTACATTCAAGCTGTTTTAATGCATTAATACATTTTTTCAAGGAAAACATTTTTTAAAAATGAATTTTTGGTGATCAACCATGAGTTTTTAGGGATAGAATTATTGACTAAAGGGGGACTTTAACATACTGCTTTTCTGAGTGGTTTCTTGTCTGCACAGCTAGTGCTAGTGCCACTGCAGTGGGTTGTCCTGCCAGCACAGAAGAGAATATGAGTTGAACTACCAGTACTAGAACATATCTGTAGACCACATTGTCTGACGAAGGCTATCAGCATCTGTAAGGTCCCTACACATACATAGGCCTACCATTATATTTTTAAACTACACCCATCTGGTAGGAATTACGCCATTTTATTCCTGTACTTCAAGACTGAGGAAAAGCTTAATTCCCAGAGCCATAGATGCTATGAATCAAGCCAATACGCACTTTTTGACTTTCTAACTGTTCTGTAATCCCCCCCCCTCCCCCCTCCACCCTCCACTCTCCCCTCCCCTAATGATGTTAACTAGTTATCTTCTTTTTTTTTACACTGGATTTATTATATTTATTTATTTTATTTTGTTATCTTATCAAATTGTATTGCTTTGTATTAGTATAATTTTTACCATTACTTTTATTTATCGAATTTTTGCATATGAGGAAGCTGCAAATGTTAAATTACGTTGGACAGGGACAGTTGGACGCATAAAATATATATTAAGAAATTCTATCCAATTTAATTCAATCATTGCTTCAAGCGGTTGGTTCAAAATGGCTGATCCAGGAACAAAGCAAGTGACTGAATTTATTAATTAGTCATTGACTTACGTGATTCGTTCAAAAACACAGGTTCATTCAGTAATAAAACAGCGCTCTGTGTAGCTCGGAGAAGACAGACTACTCTTCTGTAGATTTGTTTGGAACTATATTTATGGAACACAGAGCAAAAGTAAAATTAATATTGTGTCTAAAATGTAATGTTAACATGTTTGTTGAACTGTTGCATACAATCAGTATCACATTTGCAATCGTGCTGATGTTCAGGAAATAAGCACTCTTGCTCGTGTGATATTGCTTAACGCACTCATGTGACATAAGCAGAAAAAGATATGAGAAGTCAAACAGATATTTTATCCTCATATCTTAGTAGTCAGTCTAAGTGCACTTTAATACAGTAGCACCTCAATGCAGTACATGAGATCCACGGGGAGGAGTCGGATCAAGATCCAAGGGGTGGAGATGGGTAGGATTAGGGGTGGGTTTAGGGATCAGGGGGCGGAGATTGGTAGGTTTAGGTATATGCTAGGTGGGAGGAGTTGGATCTGGATCCGACTCCTCCCCGTGGATTTCATGTTCTGCAGTGAGGACCATCGGCTAAATCGTGCAGTGAAAGCATGTACTCTCAATGTGTACATGCAGGAGTTTATCGTACTTGGAGGGGAAAAAAAATGCTATTTTGCAATCTATTGACACACAGCAACCACAAACATCAAGCAGAAGATGTTTATCCATATGACGAGCTTACACAACCCTGTAAAGAGGGCTCTCAAGTGTCACGCATTGAGTGTGACAGTCACCCATTTCGGTATTTTGTCACTTACTCCCGCCACACATTGTATTTCTCACGCAGAAAAACTATAATATATTTAATATTCCGCAGCGGCCAAAATTTCTCTGTCCGCGCCGCTCTCACTATGGACCCGGCAGAAATCAAACGCGTCTCCCCTGGAGTTCTCAGTCGAGCCCGCCACTTATCAGAATCAGAATCAGAAAGAGCTTTATTGCAAAGTGTGCTTGCACACACAAGGAATTTGTTTTGGTGCTGAGGCTTCCAGTGGACATATACAAATACAACAAGAAACATAATTCTACAAATGATAAGAATAAACAATAAAAATATAAATAAATGACAATAAAAGTATCACAGTTGGGTTTAGTCAGAATAGACATTTTCAGATTATGAACATATTTACAGTGTTTTGAATATTATAAATAAATAAATCTACATATAAGTATCACCTGAGTTGTAGGATATTGCACTAAACAGTGGGAGTATTGCACTTACAGGCATATGCCTTGGGAGATATGTTAACTGTTCAGAAGGGAAATGGCCTGTGGGAAGAAACTGTTCCTGTGCCGAGATGTTCTTGTGGCCAGTGATCTGAGTCGCCGTCTTGACGGTAACAGTTCAAACAGGAGGTGTCCAGGGTCTGTGATGATTTTACCTGCTCTCTTCCTCACTCTGGAAGAGTACAGGTCCTGGAGGGTTGGCAGGGGGGCACCAATGATCCTCTCCGCAGTCCGGACTGTCCGTTGCAGTCTCCTGATGTCTGATTTGGTAGCTGAACCAAACCAGACAGTGATGGATGTGCATAAGACAGACTCAATGATGGCTGAGTAGAACTGAATCAGCAGCTCCTGTGGCAAGTTGAACTTCCTTAGCTGCCGAAGGAAGAACAGTCTCTGCTGGGGCTTTTTCACGATGGAGCAAACTTATCAGCCAATCAAAAAAAAAAAGAAAAAAAAAAGAAAGGGGCTACACAATAGCCACTCAGAAAATAGCACTATTGTATCTGGGTAAGATTTAACGCAACAACCAATGAAAAAAAGCATATCCTGGAATTATCACGTGATTTTGCCACAACATCTTCCAAAAGTTTCGTTCACCCACAGAGGAAACCACTGGAGCTCCAAACATCACTTTGAGCACAGAGTAACCCATGATCTCCTGTTTTAATTTTACAACAAATTCACAACTTGTTTGACACAAACAATGACAACTTGACTGCTGTTAGAGAATGTTTCCCAGATAATAAGCATCAGTTTTTCATGAGTGTCTGTAACTTAGCCAACAGTTTTACAGGCTGTTCACCGACAACACCTGCTCAGAACAAGTAGTCTAGGCCTAGTCATATTTTCATTACCACACGATGACTGACATATTGTCATGAAACAACCCCATTCCCGCGACCCGTCCAAGCGTTGAGCGCCTGTGATGACACGCTTCTACAGTTATTAACACCTACATCATCATCTATCAGAAAAAATAATGTACAATTATAATGTTGCAGGGCTGGCTCAGGAGAGCCGGCTGACAGATTAACTGATGCCTGTAAAACAGGATAAAGAACAGGAGAATCTCATCTGGTCTTTCACAGCTCCTCTGCTGATATTATTAATTTAACAACCAGTTTATTTCAGTTACACACAATTGCTTTTAAAGCATTACTTCACATTCCTTTGTCTCTTCTATCACAGTATCAAAATAAATCACCTTTTGTCACTCGTTTGCCTCCTTTCTTCATTTCACCTTCTTAACAGAACAGACTTCTTATAATAGCATGACCAACACCATGAGAATTAGTGTGAATTTACTCATAATATTCAATGCAATTATGTGTTTTCCATGCGGTACTTGCTTCTTAAAGCTAATTCACTGTTATTTCCACCAAATTAGTGGATTTATAATGGATTCAGCGGCTTCCTACACTTTCCTCAGTCTGATCACGTGAATAGTAACTTAAAGGTGCTATATGGAACTTTTCTTCTAAAATGAATCCTTTTTTTATTGCCTGTGTTTGAAGGGGTTGTAATCACACATTACAATGATCCACTTGTCGGGTTTTGCTATTACCTCTGAAGGCCAATATTCATATTTATATGTGAAGTCTCCGGGTCGGATTTACCGCGAAATCCATCGGATGTGACGTGCATGCGCGCTCCCGAGCCGCTCTCCTTATATACAGTCTATGCGACCGACGGCACCGCAGTCTGATAACACCCCAAAACGACCTGCCTCCAGCAGAACACAGACTCCAACACAAACTCCACAAAAATATAAAAAACAAAACAAAGTTTTATCTGCTGAAGCTCGTCAGGCCAAACGTGATTCTGATCGACTCAGGACGAAAACACGGATCAACATAGGCAGAGCTTTTGAATTATTAGTAAACTCAAATGAAATAGCAAGGTAAACTACATGAGACATGGAATACAAAAGACTGTTCCAGGATAAGAAAAGGTGCTTTAGGATACTTGTTTTATGTACTAGATCTACGTTATAGATCGTTACGCTATAACGTAATTCATCCCACTATCATATTGTTTATAATAAACATTTCCAGACACGTTCAGTACAGTAATGTTACTTCCTACTGTCTTACTGTTACACTGACATTGTTCAGTCTAGTTCACTAACCGTTTTCGTTATCATATTATACATTCACCTATGTGGACATTGTTGATTGTGAAAGATACACGAATAGTTAGTGAAATGCCGTAGGCTATGCTAGATAACATCACATGTCGGCTAAATGCAGTCAGTGTAACGTTATCATGGTACGAGCATGGAGCATTAGTTCAACGTCAAGCTGATAAAAGTAGCCTATTATTGTAACGTTGCAGTGGGAGTTTACATGAGTTTCCAGCATGTTGTGTGATGCTTTCGCCGTTGCGTTGAAAGTCTCCGTGTGGCCGGTAGTGAATGCTCGCTCCTGAGATCGCACACGCACACGAGCACGAGCGCTCTTGTTGCAATCTGAAACATCACCACTAGAGGCCGCTAAAAGTTCCATAGAGCACCTTTAAGCGCGGCAAACACGATCAGAATGAGCTTTCAAGAGATGTTTAACGCCATCTATTAACTCTTTAACACGAACAAATTAAAATTTGGTAACCAAAAAATAATACAGCACTTTAGTTAAATATAATGATCACTGGAGCATATTAAATAATTTTCTTCATGTTAGTGCGAACATCATAAATCACAGTGGCGGGCCGTGCATTTCACACCTAGGCCTTCAGTGAATTAATAACTTTTAATAGTGTGGCAGCGCACAGACTCTCTATAATTGTTGTGAAATTGCTGTTTTTATGTTGCACCGGCAGTTATAGGGTTAATGCGGTGAGTTCGGGAAAGGCCGGTAGAGAGAAACGAGCGAGTGAGACTTGTCGTTCAATGGTTGCAACTATAGTCCCTTGTCATACGTTACAATAGTATGAATGTTTGTAAAAAAAAACATTAGATCATAAAAAAAGAAGAAAATCCTATTGACCACGGAGAAAATGGGGTTAAAAAAAGCATTATACTCACCAAAATTACTGATTACGGTATGTTTTACACAAAATCCATCCTAATTTCTTTCCTCAAAAAGACTTCAATTACTCTGGTGTATACAGGTTATCTGTGCGTTTCAGTCAGTTCTGTTTTTACACGGACAGATCGAATAGAGTTCCGTGACTCTGCGTTAAGCTGGATAAGGCTGAATAAGGGATTTCTTCCGGTAGTATTGAACCTGCTGGGGGTTGAGGAGGGAAAGAAACATTAATTTGTGGGTTGAATTTTTTTTTTTTTTTTTTGTATTTTAGTTTATGCAGTTCGCTACCGATGTGGTTAGCTAGCTCAGCCTAGCAGTCAATCGAAATCTGATTGGCTGATTAAATCTGACTGATTATCTGATTGGTTAAAGCAACTGTTTCAATTCCATTCATTTTAAGCTACAGGCACTGTCGATTCTGAAGGCCTCAAGGCAGATTTATTTTACCCTGGCAACACATGATGGCTGAAATGTAATTGGATAAAAGCGCTAAAATAAATATACCACACTGGAAGCAGCGCAACCAAGAGAAAAGCTGTGAGATTAGGAGAATGGACTATTGGGAATAATTTAATACTCATTCATGGAAAAATATTAAAGTGCAAGTCAGTGATTCTGATAGTGTTTAGGCCAGCAGAGAAGGCCTTGCTGGCCCTGATGGCCCACCACTGATAAATCATGAAAAACAGCACATAGGCCTACTCAAACTGCTTGACCAACAATAGTTTACAATACATTGTAATAGTGCAATCACTGTTCCAGTTGAAATGTTCCTGTGTTTTTTTTTTTTTTTTTGCAAACAGGATAAAGGTCAGAAGAGCAGGAGTCGTCTGGTCTTTCACGCATGCGTGCACGATTCTGTATTCTGTTTTTTTTTTTTTTTCTCCGCTTTTTGTCCATGTAGTTCAATCTACATTTGTTATCGTTACACATCAGTACTGCATAAAGAAAATAAAGCCGCGTAATCAGTAAATAAAAATACTCAGAAATAAATCATAATTGTGTAGACCTACTTTGTGTATCACATCATGACACTATACATTGTTATATTACCTTAGAGCACTAGTAAACACTGCTGTGAGGGTGTTTCTAATGCAGCTGCTGAGGGAGTGACTCTGAATTAACCATCTTTAATCAATCTCTCTATATTTTTCTCTGTTTTTGGAAAGTTGTGGAAATAATATATTGTTGATGTGTTTGTGTATTATGTGTTTCAGAGGCACAAAATAAAAATGTAATAATAATGACTAAAATTATTTTTGTAGTGGTAGAAGAATTATTATTTAATAAAGACTTATTATATTATTTTATATAAATAATATTAGTTAATAAACTATTTGACTCAATTTAAACAGTGCAGATGGACAGCAACCAGAGTGCAGGCTAAGCGTGCTGATTGGCTGGCCTGCGGCAACTGCACAAACCTATGGTGAAGCAGCGAGGATGCACAAATCTATCAGGGCGCTTCCCGCCTCGCTGGCTGCTGACTATATAAGTCGCCCATTCGCCATAGAATCAAGTTAAATCGACTGAAGCAACAGTACCTGAACGTGAAGCTTAATACCACGGCCGTCTATGCAATACTTGTTCACGTTACTCTCAGGGAACCGAGGTTACGTTAGTAACCGAGTACGTTCACTTTCGAGAACGGTTCACTCGTATTGCGTCGCTAGACACTATGGGAACCCATTTCAAAATGCTGTGCTATTAGCTGACGACTTCGCTCTGAACTCCCCCTAAGGCTGCAAGGCCTGAGGCTTAGAGTAGAACTTAAGTCAGAAGTCCAACGGGGCCCGGACAGATGTGGGGGCCCACAGAAGGGATACCTAGTGGTTTGGGCTTCTCAGAGGCCAACACTTACTTAGATAGAAAGGACTCGTGCCTGCAGAGCCGGCACCTCGAAGTTGTAAATCCTCACAAATGTGGACGGCGAAGACCAGCCAGCCGCCGCACAAATGTCTTCAATTGGTACACCACTGGACCACGCCCATGAAGAGGCCATGCCCCTTGTGGAATGAGCCCTGATGCCTATGGGACATTGAAGGCCCATTGAGGCGTAGGCTAAAGAGATGGCGTCGACTATCCATTGTGACAATCCTTGCTTCGTGACCGGGTGCCCTTTTGGTGCGGCCGCTGAAGCATACAAAGAGCTGTTCCGACTGCCTGAACGGGGCAGAACGCTATGAATAAACTCTGAGAGCCCTGACGGGGCAGAGTAGTCTTAATTGTCTATCGTCTTCCGACCTGGGAAGGGCAGATAGTGAAATGACCTGGGCTCTTAACGGAGTCGAGAGCACCTTGGGTACATAGTCATGTCTCGGTTTGAGGATGACTTTGGAGTCGTTGGGCCCAAACTCAAGAGTTCATGGAGAGCGCTTGTAAATCGCCCACTCGCTTGACCGATGCTAGGGCTAGCAGGAGTGAGATCTTGAGCAAAAGTGGCTGCAAGTCAGCCGACTGAAGCGGCTCGAAAGGGGGTCCCCTAATGGCCCTGAGGACTGTGGATAGGTCCCATAAGGGTATAGAGGGATGACGAGGCGGTTTCCACCTCCTGGAGCCCTTGAGGAAGTGTACGACCAGGTCGTTCCTTCCTAAGGATTGGCCGGCCACAGGAGCATGAAAGACT